GTGGGAGGGCAAGGTTGGGACGTTCACCCCGGGGCCCAGCTGGACGTCAGCATCTGGTCAACCAGCTCACGTGGCTCAGTGGTAGTCCTTGTGCAAGGTGGTCTCAGGCTGGGGGGTCTGCACTGGTGCCCAAAGGAGGCAGAGGCAAGCCTGCTCCTCTCTTCCCGGGACACCAACCATGGTGCTCAGTGCAGATGGGGCTGCAGGCAGAGCTGCCGTTACAGGCTCTGAGAAACACAGCAGCTGTGGGCCGCTGCTGGCAGCCTGGCCCCCAGTGGGGCAAAGGGGTGTCTCCACTTTCCCAGCCACCCAGAAGGTTCGTGGCATGTCAAAGCTCCCAGGATCCCGGGGTGACTCTGAGACAGGGAGTGTGGGGAGGTGTGCCGGTGGCATAAATCATGGTACCCCGCACTCTGTGGCTAGTGCCACAGGGCAATGCGAGTGAACTCTGAATTAGCAGAAGTTTTAAACTAAGCAGGCACTCCTGGGTCTCTAACAGAGGATGGCTCTGGTAACTGTGGCTCTGTTAGGTACACTGTGGACTGGGGTCTGTCTCATTCCCTCATCTGTAAAATGGGAGAATAGTTGAAACTCCCTCCCTGGACTGCTAGGGAGGTTAAATGTAGTGTTTCACACACAAGCTGGCTTGTGCTGAGGGCTCGGCACACGGGGCTATTATTTTTGTAAAATGAATCCAGTCTCGTGGGCCCTGCTTTCTTGTTTCCTTTCCCGCATCTCCTCCCTATCTCCTGGAAGGTTTCGTTGAGAATCTAGTTTCATGGTGCTTTCCCCACCTTCTTATCATTAACAAAACCTGCTCCCAGGTAACTACTGAGGTGGAAAGCATGTCATAAATTCAGAGTAAGGTCTTCCTAACGGATAGCTTTCCTTTCTGGGGTTGTTTTCATTTTCTTAAGCGACTGCATGCTCTTAACTGGAGGAGAGCTCAGACCAGTGACTGGTGGGTGGGAATGAGGGGCGTGTTGGTGGGGAGATGGAGGGAGGTGGGTGGGAGACATGGTGGGGGGGTTGTTTGGGGCCCTTCCAGCCCCTCGCGGAGGCGAGGCTCACTATCAATCCTGCTACCACATGGGCCCTGCCTCCCGCCCGCAAGCTGGTAGAGGTTTTCCTCCACGCTCCCTGTTTCCATGGTGCTTTTCCTGGGAAGAGCACAAAGTGCCTTCGAGACAAAGACCAGCAGAAGCGGAGTCAGCAGTCGGCACCCTCCCGCATGCACAGGCCAGTCTGAGCCATTCATTCAAAGGCTCTTCAAGAAGGGCCCATGTTTCTTCCAGGAACCAATCAGGAGTCTGTGCTCAATTCGATTCATCAGTTCAACTGACAGCCCACTCACCCACCCACCAGGACCCACCTTGCACGGGGCACCCCATTCAGACACTGCTGTTGCGAGGACAGCTAAGGAAACAGCCCTCCTTTGGACATACCAGAGGTTCTCAACCAGGGACGATTTTGCACTCCGCCCCCTTTTTTGGGGACACTGGGCAATGTCTGAATTCGTTTTTGGTTGCCATGACTTGGGAGGGGGTGTCATGACTGTCATTTAATGAGCAGAGGTCAGGGATGAACTTAAATATCCTGCAGGGCACAGGAACATCCTCCGTCCCCGGACTGTTGGTCCAATGTGTCAACAGAGCTGGTGTTGAGAAACCTGGGATATGCCGAGATGGCAATGTGAGGCTGAGCCGGTCCTAGGGTCAGACAAAGAAACTGGGCAAGAATGGCCAGATGCAGGCAGAGAATGGAGAAGCTGCAGGAGCCCGAGGCGCAAGCGCTGCCAGCAAGCGTTCTAGCCGCGGTGGCGCTGGCTTCGGGGGGAACGCCGTTAACCAACACACATTCCAGTGACTCTACTGTGGCTGCTCCCAGAGGCTGGTTAGGTGCCTCCTTCAAGAGCAATCATTTGCATCTCTTTTGCTGTTCACTAACCACGCACGGATGAACAAGACGGAACTTCCGGAAAAACGGGAAAGCTGGTGACATCTCTAAAAGAGAGAGGGCGGCGAGCCTACGTCCATGTCCCTCTCCAGGCTGGAGGCCTCTCTGCCTAGCTCTCGATTTGCGTGAAAAGATCACACAGGTCTGACCCTTCCTGCAAGAACCATCGTGATGCTGGTGAATCTTCCAGTGGGAAGTTCCGAAGTTGTGGCTTAACTGCCACAGAAAAGTAGAAAACCAACTAAAAGAAGGGTTCCCAAGATCCAAAAAGTGGCCCATATAAATGTCAACACTGAGAAGCCTGGGGATGGAGACAGATGGTCCAGGACATCACGTTCTAAAGCTGTCGTCCAGAGGAGGATTACTCCTGAGGGCGGCCACAGCTTGGAAGGCCAACTGCTGTAACCCATGGGGCAGAAAACCCCACTTCGTAAATCCTCACGCCAGGGCAGCCGCTGACCACAGCGCTAGGGGGCCCGGGAGAGACCGGACCAACCCGAGCTCTGCTCTGCAGTCACTCGCAATGGGAGCGTCACCGTTGGTCTCAAGACTGCTCGCCACCACAAATCTCTTCCTTCTAGTGCTAAATCTTGTTGGGATTTCCCTGATCCCAGACAGAGAGAGAGAGAAATTGGATGTTGGCAAATGGAAGCCTTTGAAACCTGTTCACTCAGGTGGGGACACGAGGCAGGATGGGCTGAGGGCAAAGATTAAGAACTGAGTCTCTGGCTATATCCAGTAAGCCACGGGAGAAAGCCACGGGAGAAAGCCCTGAAGAGCTGGAGGCGGAATCTGAGGATCAGAAGAGATCCAGGACACAGAAGAACTGTTATTCTCAGGGAAATCATACCAGAAAGATGTCACTTTTCCTCCACAAGGGGCGGGGATGGGGGGGGGGAGCACAGCTATTTTTACCAAAGGGGCTGTACTGTGAGGAGCAGCACTCATCTTTCCACCATGGAGGGTCTCTTAGTGCCTGAAAAATCAGCCCTCCACAACTCTTAGTGAAATGGGGCGTAGAAACAGATGGTTTCCTTTAAGTCATACTGGAGAAGATCTTGAACTACCTGTTTTCCTAGGTGCAGGGAACTCCAGCGATTCTCATATCCACCACTACCTATTGCAAAGGATGGTGAGAGTCAGGGCCCTTTGGATCCTTGGGGAAACGACAAACAATGGCTTCAATAAGCTACCTGTATTGTTAAGGTGGAAAGGAGTCTTCCTACCGCCTGGGAGCCAACCCTACTCCTATCCGTCAGCTGTGGGCAACGGGCCCGGGCCCCCTTGGCTCTGAGAAGGAGAAAGAAGCACAGAGACAGAAGGGGTCAGGGGCACCCAGTGGTGCCTGTGAATGTGTGAATGACCAAGTCAATGAGTGATGAAAACGTGAGTGAAAAATAAAGCCAGCCGGACGGCAGACATCTCCCAACATTCCTCAGGGATGGAGCGGGAGGGTTCTTAGCGTGGCCGCCGGAAGGGCAGCCTCCGCCACGGTCTGTGACAACAGGCAGGGCTGGGTTGTCCGTGGCCTCGGAGCTCTAGGTCACTGGGCAATACACGGAAGCTAAAGGCAGCATTTGCTACTTGTGGGCAAAACTCCTTGGCTGGGGCACCGTCTTCAGCTCTACAGGCCGCCCGTGTGGCACACGGTCCACTCGCCGCCCGCTGCCTTCTGTGGCACTGGCCGTGGGGAGGCTG